CCCCCCCCCCCCCCCCCCCCCCCCCCGCTGATTTAAAGGCTGGAGGAGGAGGAGGAGGAGGAGGAGGGAGGGGGGTGATTTGGGGAAGAGAAGGAGGGTGTAGTGTGGAAGGAGGGTGGGGGGGTTGGAGGGGAGTGAAAACTGGAGCTGTGTTCCCCCCCCCCCCGCTTCTCTGGGCGAGCCAGACACGGTTTGCCCAGTGCAGAGAGAGGGGCTCCTCCGTGTTCCGCCTCCGTGGAGTATTTGGGATTGGAGAGAGACACACGCACACGCACACACACACACAGAGACCATCTGCAGTGTCAATGCGGCGCCTGCTCTGAAGACTGAAGTGGGGGGAAAGGAGAGGGGAAAAAGAATAATATATATATTTATATATATAAACCCACCCAAAAGCAAGCGAGGAGCTTTCCCAGGTAAGGAACCTCCCGCCCTGCTCGGGCAGCGGGGATCGGAGGGGAGGATGCCCCGGGAGGGGCTGCAGCGGTACCTGCCCTATGCACCTGGAACGGCTGGGGGGGCCTCGAGGGGAAACCCCACCGCCTCTCCCCACCCATAGGGCCGTGGGAAGGGGGTCAGAGCAGGCGGGCGGGGACCCCCTGCGAACAGCGGGGCTGAACCGGGGGCTGCTGGGCACGGCCCCTCCGGGCTGGGAAGGATGCTGGAGGGTCGCTGCGGGGAGCCCCCAGGATTCTCCATCCTCCGCACCCTCAGAGCGAAGGGAACGCGCTGCCCGCTGTCCCCCCATCCCCCCCCCGCCTCCACACCCGCGTCCTCGGTGGTTTTCCTCCCTTTGCACAAAGCTCAACTTTTCTCCCCGAAGGAAGGAGCTCCGGCGTCGCAGCTCCTGGCTACTCCCGGCAGCGGTTTTCCTCCTCCCGGGGGGGTTATTTTCCCCCCTCCGTGCCCCATTGCCACCTCCGGGCTGGAGGCATTTGCAAACTTTTCCCGACGAGGCTGCAGCTGGAGGCAGAGCCCTTTTCTCAGGGAAGATCGGATCCTCCCGGGTGACCGATGGGGACAGGGGCCACCCCCGGTGGGGAACACCTGAGCGAGAAGGGGGTGATCCCCATCATTTCCCTTCCTTCGAGGTGCTGGGGACTTCGGCTGCCTAAATCCCGGCTGCGGAATCGGTGCTGATAAACCCTCCCCTCCCTCCGTGCATGTGTGTGTGTGTGTGCTGCAACCGAAACCTGCGTATTGATGCTCTCCGTTTATCAGACATATGCCCCTAAATGATGTAGACAAGGAGAAGTGATCTAAACACCGAGCTGCACATGGTTTTGGTGGAAATATAATACTCTAGCAGCAGATGAGTTCCTCCCAGATAAACAAACCCACTTGCTCAGCCCCAGCAGGGCTAAGTGCTGTTTGGGTTTGGAGCGGCTGCATGTGGCTGCTCCATCTCCAGCCCAGAGGAAACCCTCCTCCTGGGGCCCCATCTGCTCCTGGCTCAGGGTAGGGACTCAGCCTTCACCACGTCGGACCCAAAGGATTTGGCTTCGTGGAAGTGACCAGGTGGGAAGCTTGCGGCCGCGCTCCTCTCCCTGTAAACTTCCACCCCACGTCTGCTCTGCTTCGCCCTCCAGCCACGCCAGGCAGCTCGCTGGAAACACACCTGATTTTTCATGGCTTCCTTCCGACATCGGGATGCGAGGTTTTTGGGCAGGGCAAGGATGCTCAGGTCCAGGGGAGAGTGACGGAGATTGGGAGGTTTGGACCTGGGCTGCCAGCGATGCTCCTAGGGGAACAGTGATGGTGTGAGGGGATTTTTTGCAGCCTTTTGGGGTCTTATCTTGAGCATGCACAAATATTTCAGAAGGCATAAAGCATGCTAACTTCTTTATCTGCCTTCTGCTTCACCTGGGTCTTAATTATAGGAGCTGGTTAAATCCGCGAGCGGGTGGGACTGCTGGAGCATGGGGTCTCTGTGATTTTAATTACAGCGTGTGCCTCCCGTTGTGAGATTAGGTGCTTCCCTCCCCTAGCTGAGCCACTGCTTTAAGGTTTCAGGGATGAGAGCCGCGCTTTAAGTGTGTGTTTGTTTGTGCGTGGGACCCTTTGCCGGAGCCAGGCTTCAAGCAGAGCAACAGATGTGTGCCTGCTTTCCGTGCACAGCCAGGTTGTAACACGCAACCCCACCATGAAAGTCAGAGATTTTCTTCCGTCCCCTGCCCAGACCCATCCTCTGTGGGGGTGTCTCCTTTCCTGGAGGACCACTCTGAGCCTTCTCCTTCCCATCCCTTCTTCCATGCGTGGCGCCCGGCGATCTCAATACGATGCAAAACAGATGACAGCTGCATGATCTAAGCGTTGTTTATATCCAAGACGGGTGTTTTAGAATACAGCCTGATGATCAATCACAGTGCTGTTGGGAAGCTTTCTCTTGATGATCGTTGCTGCCTGGTAGGCGCTGAAGGCTGCCGTTAAATCAGTGAGCCTGGCCAGCGGAGGGCTGAGTGCTAGCGTGAATCCTAAGAGAGATGCTGAACTTCTCCACTGGGAGAGGAAATATCGAAGCTTTCACCTGCCAGCCTGCCTTGCTGTGTTCGCAGTGCTAGACAGCCCCATGGCTGCGGCACGGCGACGCTGGGGAGGCAGCAGTTTCAGCAGGCAGATCCCGGGGGGCAGCAGGAAGGCAGAGAGGAGGGGAGAGGAGGAGGGATCCTGGAGCCCCTTTTGTACTGCCTTTCTGCTTTTCCTGAATTGCTTTGTCTCCTGATTTCCTTCATGCAGTGCAATGCAACCTGCTTCCTTCATGGAGCGCCGAGCTTTGATTTGAGCGTTTGTGAGCCCGAGGATGAAAAGCTTTGCAAGGTCTTAGGATGCTCAGGTGTATTGAGGGTTAACACTGCGTAGGAATTAATTTCTTATTTGGAAGTGAACTCTGAAAATCTTTCTAAGAAGCAGAGAATGATGCTGGCATGGTGAGCTTGTGTTCTACTCACTAGCATTCGGATCCTGCACTGAGAGGGTGTTAGAGCTTTTGAGTTTTGGAGCTAGCAGTGCCAAAGTTTGTGGCTTGGCTTTGCGTGTAGACATTTTCAGGCATGGTGACTTTCCTACGATCATCTGTCCTGGGAATCTCTTGGCTCTTCTTGGTTTATTTGTCATAATACCCCTGTAAAGTGAAGTCTCACATTGCTGATGGCAACTGAAACCCAGCATCACCCTGCACTGCAGCAGTGATGGGTCTCCAAAGCCTCATGTCCTACCCCTCCCCAACTAAGAACGCATTATTTGGGGGTATTTGGATTGGTTCCCATTGTAAAACCCTCAAATGTCTTGGCGCTTAAAAAATAAGATAAAATAAAAGCCCTTTCTGCTTCCCACCAGAGTTGAACAGAGACTTCAGAGGGCTCTTTCTGACTCCTTCCTTATGGCTTGCAAGGCTCCGTTAATGGACATCAGCCCCTCCAGGCGCCCAAGGCTACGAGACTTCCCGTCTGCGCTGAGTCTGGGCAGCACTGCTGACTTACTGCAGGATGTTAGTGGTGGGTGTGCTTCCATGCATGGCTGTCATCAGGCTGAAAAGCACTTTATATCCCTTAGGTTGGAGTTCTCAAGAAGCCTACATTGAAAAAAAAAAAAAAAAAAAAAAAAGTTCCTAACAGCACGAAGCAGGAATACATACACAGGGCTCTCCAGATGTTTTTCAATCATTTCTCTGCAAAAAAAAAAAATAGGGGAAACTGAGGCACAGAGAAGCAGGAGGCTCCGTCTGAGCCCCATTTACTGGTGGGACTCCTCACTCACTACCATGAAATACAGGCTGAGCCCCAAACAGTCCTTGATGTGAGAGCAGTGAGTGATCTGCTGCCCTTTAGCCTGTGCTTCAACAGCCAAAAGTAATGCATGGTCAGAACAAGACATTGTTAAGACTGAAATTTTTGCAATTCAGATGACAGATAGATGCTTAAGAATGAGAAAAGCTCATCCTGGGTGAGCACATGGGCCATGGGGCAGCTGTGTTCCCATGAACTTTGGTTTCCGTGTTTGAAATTGTGTGTAAAATGTTTTTAATAACCCTTGGAAATGAGGCAATCATAGCAAAATTGAGGTGTGTTGTGATGCTGACAGTCTGCATGGTGATTTTCTGGAACTGGCATTCCTCTTTGTGGTGGTTTTTTGATTCATCCCACTAGAGATGTCTGCCTTTCTTTGTTTTTCATTAGTATGTATTGTCAAGTTTGGTTTTTCTTTGCTTGGTCATATCTGGAGGAATTTATTATGAAGAGTGTTCAGGTGCTGGAACAGGCTGCCCAGAGAGGCTGTGGATGCCCCGTCCCTGCAGGTGTTCAAGGCCAGGTTGGATGGGGCCCTGGGCAGCCTGGTCTGGTATTAAATGTGGAGGTTGGCAGCCTTGCCTCAGCTGGGGGTTTGGAGCTTGATGAACCTTGAAGTTCCTTCCAACCCAAGCCATTGATTCTGTGATTCTATGATATCTCATAATATGCTACACCAGATCTGAGTTTCCAAGACGGTGTCCTGCATCAGCAATTGGAGCCAGTGTGGTTGGTATCTGTCCTGTAACTTTGAATGGGTATCATTTGCCTTGGAAACCCAATGGCCACCTCATTTTACCATTTGGGTAGCTCTAATCGGTAGAATCATCAAATTATTCCAGTTGGAAAAGATCCTTAAAGGCTACCTAGTCCAACTCCCCTGCAACGAATGGGGATAGCTAGATCAGGTTGAATGGATATCTTTTGCCTTGGAAATCCAATGGCCATCTTATTTCAGACATCTCTCAATCTATGCTCCACGTTTCATTGGTGTCATTTTCAAAGGCGATACGCAGAGCAGTGTTCCCATGGAAGAAGCCCATTCTTTGCTGAAGTTATGGCATTCTCAACTGTTTCCATTGCAAATGCTAATATCTTTAGAAGACACCCAGTGCTTGGGACTGGAGAGCCTGAAGGCTTGAGCAGGATCATGAATTGGGCTGAAACCTCCATCCCCACTGTGGTGCATATCAACAAGTAGCTTTCTACTTCTTTGGACTAGATGATCTTAGTGGTCTTTTCCAACCTTAATGATTCCATTCTAGAGAAATTCACTAGAAAGAGAGAGGTCATCTGCAACCTCTGCAAACTCCAGGCCGTGCTGCCAATGAGTGTGTTTTAAATCTCACATGCCATGAAAACAGAAATCCTGACCCCACAAACAGGAGGCTGATTTTCTTTCTTATAGGAATAAAAGAAAATCACAGCTGAGTGAGGCAGGATCTGCACCGGTGACCCAAAAGGGAGACCTCATGTTGCCATCTCTCCCAGCTTTCATGCCTCACCTCCAAGTTCCACCCCTGCTGCCTTATCCATACATGAGTGTTCTGCTGGGGCTTTCCCAACAAGCTATAAACTATAAATTTACAGGAGCTGACTGGCACTTGAATCTCCCTTGTCCTTCTGACAGG